TGTCATTTGGCAGCTAATGTGTTACAAAGAACCTATAATGAGGCGCAAAGTCTGCTGGAAATCAAAGCCCCCACCATCTTGGGCTGAGTTGGTTCTAAGCAGTTTATGTCGTATCCTCAATGGCTGCGTCATTCTCTTAATGGTTGTGCCCTGCCCACTTCCCTCCTCTCTCAAAGTCATTATCTGGGTATCAAGAATTTCTGTATATTGGGTTCCCAGTGTGACAGTCAAGATCACTTTGGTATCAGCAGATGTTCAGGCTGGTGTTTCCTTCTTCAGTAAAATCTGAGTTGCGTAGCACCTCCTGTACCAGATTCTGCCAGCTCTCAAGGTCACACAATTGTATTCCATCCCACTTATGAAAGAAGTTCAACTGCAAGGCCATTTCTCTAAGTGGTTGTCCTCCCTGGATCTTTGTCAGTACTACCTTGCTACTTCATCTCCGTGTGTGATTTAAGTACCCAAATAAACAGAAGTCCTTCCATCAACTCAAGCAGAAGAATGATACTTAAGATGTTCAAAAGTTTCTCAGAATTCTAAAATTTCTCCTTTGCCTTTGACGTCTTCCTTCTTAATCTTGTCTAAATCAGTCCTTGAGTAATGATCTTTGAAATCCAGTGACTTGGTTTTGTATAACAAGGTCAGCTCTCACTTGGTACTTATGTCATTTTAGAAAACGTCAATAAAATGGCTAATGTTAGACAAAATTTGTGATTGATGCCAAACTGATGAGATCCTCTTGGCTTCCATTTTCGGATTTAAGATCATATTGAAATGGTCTCATGATGCTGTCCTTATTAATTGAGGGTGATGGGGCTGAGATTCTTCAGAACCACCGCTCCATTCAATCTGTTGCTGGGTCTGCCTGGGTGTCACTCATTACCTGCACTATTATCATGACGAATGCTGGTGTCCTTTTATGATGCGAATAAAGGATGTAATGCGGTGAGACCTAGTTAGATCTGCTTGCACTTGACATTCTCCTACCTTCCTTGTTTACACTGAAGAAGGATGTTACTGGGTAGCTTGGTAATTTGTTCTCATTGGACTCACAGGAACACTTGCGGATTATTGGTTGTGATGAAGATTTATGGAAAATGTTTGTGTGCTCCGGGGAGAAATCAATCCTGGTGCCTGGCCCCACAGAGCTCTCTGTGCCCATTGAAGCCACGTCTCTTCTGTACTTAAATAGTGCCTAATATAATGTCTTGCATGAAGTAGGACCCAGGTTAAATTCCTGTAACATAGATGTGTGTGTGTGTGTGCCATGCACTCTGATAAATGTTTTTGTAGATTTACCGCGTTTAATTATCAATCAGTTTCTGTTTAATTGGATTCATAAAACTGGTCATATGAAGTTCATTCTGATATTTTGGCCCAGTTCTGGAGGGCAGATTCCCTCAGCATGTGGGGAGGTGGGGAAATATCCTGCCTTTCCTCCATCAGGATGGCTGGTGAGCCCTGGTCTCTTTGTCCCTTTCATATTCAGCTTCCCTCAGCATCATCCTTGGTTCTTGGAACCTTGCCTCACCCTCACTACCATGCTCTTGGCCCCTGCTCTAGGATGTTGGGAAAAGGAAGGAAGAGGAGGGAAGGTGAGAAGGGAAGAGAAGATGAGCTCTGTTCTCAGTCGGTCTGTCTGTGGACACATCATTCAGGAAGTTAGAAGCCTAAACTCCCTGTCTACAGTCCTGGAAGGCTGTGAGTCCACCCGTGAATGTGTGTGCATAGCTGGCCTGGGAGACGGGTCAGGATCCAGTGAAGACAATCAACACTGCATCCTCTGCAGATCGCAGCCTCCAGGCCGGTGGAAAAGCACGTGCAACTGCCTGGATGTTCCTGTGTAGGTCCCGAGTGTCCCTGACTGGAGCTTCCAATGCTTAGATGACTCAAGCATTCAGCATTTGATGTCTCAGTGGAATCATTCCTAGGAGATACCTCTAGATTATTTTTAACTTGAGAGTGTGGCTCGCTTTTCCACAAGGGCAGTGCTGTGAGTATTTGTCACTTGGATGAAAAGAACTATCACATCAGAAACTAGAATCTTAGAACCACAAAGGGCTTCTTAAGTTACTCTCACTCCCAGAAGAGTGTCATCTCATCGCATTGCTTCAACTGCCAGTTTCTTCCAATTGTCCACCTGCATTCCAGATCCTTTCTAGACTCATCTATCCAACTTCATACTTGGCACCCCACAGATGTCTAATAAACCTGAATTTATCATATCCCAAAATGGACTCTTTTTTTTTTTAAGTCTCTCAAGTGCTTTTATACCTCCCAACTTTATGGAGGTATAACTGACAAGTAATATTGTAAGATTGTTAAAGTGAATAACATGATGTATCATGTACATTGTGAAAGAATTTCCCCTCATCAGGTTAATTAGCATATCCATCACCTCACATGGTTATCTTTGTTTTTCCTTTGATGAGAACATGTAAGTTCTAGTTTCTTTGCAAATTTCAATCCAAAATTGAACCCCAAACCGGTTTCACCCGGTATCTTCCCATCTCAGTTGATGGCAACTCTATTTTTATTTCGGTGGCTCAGGGCAAAAACCTTCTTAGTCAGTCTTTTTTTTTTTTTTTAAGTATTTGTACTGTTTCTTTTTTTTCTTTTTTTGTAGTGTTTGTAATGTTTTTCTTTTATTTTTTTTAATTGTAGTCTAATCAGTTTACAATGTTGCATTGGTTCCTGGTGTACAGCATCATGTTCCAGTTATACAGATAGTCATTCTTGACTTATCTCTTTTTCCCCACACCCAAATCCAAGTCCAGCAGGAACTCCTGTTGTCTCCATCTTTAAAATATATCTAAAATCTGCTCTTATCACCAGATCCTGCTGACACTCTGGTCTCAGTCCCTATCACCTTGTCCTGGATAATGGCACTAACCTCCCTGCATCGCTCTGATTCTCACGTGTCCTCCTGCAGGCTCTTCTCAGCACAGCAGCCATCAGCCAATTTGTTGCCGTTATTAGGTAGTATTTTCCCGTTTCACTCAGAACACTCAAAATCCTGACATAGCTTTCCAGTTGCTACAGCTGTGTAACAAATCACCCCCAAACTTGAGGACTAACAATCGTTTATTACGTGCACAAACTCTGTGAGGCAGGAATTTAGACCGGAAGCAGCAGGGATCACTTGTCTTCCATTCCACGATGTCTGGGTCCTTCCAACTGCAAGGCTCAGATCTTCTGAAAGCTCAGCCCTTCACATGTCTGGTGGTTGATTTGGGCTGTAGGCTGAGACCCATGCCCTGGCCATCAGCCGGAACAGCTACACGAAGGCTCTCTGGGAGGCTAGGGCTTCCTCACAGCATGACGGCTGGGCTCCCAGGAGGAAGAGCAGGGAAGAAGTTGGACCCCAGCCTCAGAAGTTCTGCAGCATCCTTCTTTCCTGACATACTCCATTGGTTGGAATAGTCTTAGCTTGTCTAGATTCAAGGGGAGGGAAATATATTTCCCTGCTTGATGGAGAGTGATCAAATTCTGGAAGAGAGGGTGGGACTGGAAATATTACTGTGGCCATGTTTGGAAATACAGTCTGCTATGGTGACCTACAAGATCGGACCTGGGCTTTTTCTCTGGCCTCATCACTTCTCCCCAGAGAGCATTCTGTGCCGGCCACACATTGCTGGAGCCCTCAGGCTCTGCCCTGGGTGGCTCTTCTGCTGCCCTGCTCTTCCCAGCCTGCCTGCACACATGCTCCCTGCACCAGCTTCATGCTTTTACTGAAATGTCACTTTCTCACTGAAGCCTGCTCTGATCACTCTGCAAACTCACTCCCCTCCCCTCCTCTTGCTTTATAAAACTTACTGCCCTCCCGCTGTCAATGGAACTTTATGTTTCCTCTTTATTTCCCACCCCTACTGGAATGAAGCACTACGTAGGCAGGAATCTTTATTGATTCTGTTCACTGGTTTATACTCAAGGCTTAGAATATGTATTCAGGGCACATAAATATGGACAGGATTGAAATGGAGCATCGCTGGTTGGGATATTCTGAATGTGCAGTCCTCGCTCCGGATGAGCCAGTGAGATCTCCACTTTCTGGACCCACATCACCATGACTAAATCCCCACAGTGGTGCACTCCCTGACACATGGGAGGAACTGAAAATAAATACTGAACTAGTTTCCCTGGAGAGAAAACTTAACACAACTTAACTCTTAGGTTCAGCCAACCCAGATCAATAAGAGAAGGGACCAACTGGAACAGTTCCTTTCATTGTGTGTACTTCTGTCTTAACTGTTATCAATGAATGAACCAGAACTTTTGTTTTGATTTCCCTTGAAAGATTTGGTTTCTTTATGAGAAATTTCAAGGTACTTTTTCCAGTACAGCCCCTGTCCCTCACCCCAACACAGACATGTTGACCAAAGGGTATCAGAACTTGCCTAAAATGTTCCAAAAATTTTTTTATTAATAAAGTGCCTCTTGGACCCATTGAACCATAACAGCCATCTATTCCTTCAGTGCTTGATGGTTACAAGGCATTAGGTTTATCTCTACTAGGTAGGCAATCTCACAGCTCTGGGAGCCGAGTGGTGGATGTCTGCTTACTGGCTGGATCGGGTTTCTGTTTGTTTTGCAACTGAAGGGTCTGTCGTCCTCAGTGACCACTGGTGAGGGTCTCTGGTTCATCCGTAGGATGGGACTGTCCCTTGCTCTAGTTCCCTCTCCCAAATTCTACAGCCAGGCTGTTGGCTACCAGGTGGGAAAGGTGAGGGGCCAGACACCGAATGAGCTGCCTTTGAAAGTACCAAGTTTGCTTAGTGCTTGGAGCAAGGCATGACACTCCTGCTTCTTGGGTCTGACTCCTTCCACCGCATCCTTCCAGGCAGCCCCTCCCATGGATTTGAGTGTTTTCCAAACATAGGGTGTTATCACTGTTAGTGACTTGACCGCGATCCTTTGGTCTGGGGCTTTTAGTTGAGCAGTTCTGACTTCCGTCCAATCTTTGATGATGGTTGCATCAATGCTGGATTTTTGTTTTGCAGAAACGAGCATGAAGGAGAGCGCTACGAAGTACATGGAGGTGCTGGAGGACAAACTGTGCAGGTAGGGATGATGATGCCGTCATGACAGACTCCAGGGCATGTCTGGATTCCTTATGACAACAGGATTTAGTGAAAGTGGAGGAAAAGGGTAGCCAATGTCTGTAATAAATCAACAAAGAACAACACAAGAAAAGGAGTCCTTTGACTCCTGTAACGGAAGAAGTGGGTACCATACAAACCCCTCCCGATGCTCTTCTCTTCTTATAAAAAGTAACGGGATGAAGATGTCGAAAAGCGCCTGTCGGAGATCACAGGATAGTTTTCATGTTTCAGAAGGAGACTTTTCCTGGGTACGTTCAATTCAGAATTCATGCCTTGGTCTGATTTTCTGTTCCTTTAAATGTCTGCAGTGGGGCTTCTGGATTTTGACCCAGTTTATACATGTTTTGGAACAATAGAAAAAAGCACATCTTAGGTTCTGTTTTGAATCCTGAATCAAAACCAGCATGAAAATTCTTGGTTGCTTTTTTTTTTTTAAAACTCAATTAGGAATTCAGATTTGAGAAACATTAGCGATGCTGCAGCATGTCAAGATGTTTCTGGTTTTTGTGGCTGTGTACTCAGGAAAATAAATCCCAGCCACTGGATCTGCTCCTAATTAGGGGAACAAGACGAGAATGTGGTACATGCTTTCTTCCCTGGGAGTCAGTCGGCTTTCTGGAAAATGTTTCGCTACTATTTTGAAAATTGTTAAATAACTCTTTAAATAGGCTATGCCTTAAACCTTTGCCTGCTTGTAGAATGCTGTTGGCTCAGATACTGCTTCTCCCTTAAAGAGATGCTGAGAGGGGCTGCCTTACTGAGCTCTGCTCCTCCGGGCAAGTAGGGTACTGCAAGATGGATTCTGATGCTTGTAAAGCAAGTTCTCCTAACCACTGGCTGGCATTTCCCTGCCTCCCATGCCTCAGACGTGGGGAGGCAGCCAGTGGAGAGTATGGGGTAAGAGGGTGTGTAGGTAAGAGGCATCCTCCGAAGGCTTTAAGATCTCTCATCTGAGACAGTAGGACACCCACCTGGGTCAGGTGCACTGCCTTGAATCCAGCATCCTCCTGTCCCATGTATTCTGCCGAGGCAGGTTTCTGCAGATCCCTTTTGAACTTAACCCTGGTTACCATTTGTTTTTAGCCAAAAGCCGCAGACACATCGTATGTTCCATTAGATTACGGGACAGCAGGTTGAAGTTGGAAGACGTGGGAATAGGTAGAGAGACGCCCATCTAAACGGCAGCTCTGTGGACCTACTGGAGGAGGCACTCTTCCTTCAGTTTTGTAGATAAAGAAAATGCAGGTGAATGTTTACCTGAGGGTAGGCAGCTGATACGTGGTAGAGCTGCAATTAAAAAAATTTTTTATTAAAGTGTGGTTGATTTCAATGTGAGTTTCAGGTGTATAGCAACACCATTCAGTTATACATACATATACATATATGTTTTTTCTTTTCAGATTCTTTTCCATTATAGGTTATTACAAGAAATTGAATATAGTTCCCTGTGCTGCACAGTAGGTCCTCGTTGTTTATCTCTTTTATATACAGTAGTGTGTGTCTGTTAATCCCCAGCCCTCCTTTACTCCACCTTGCCCTTCCCCCTTTGGTAACCACAGTTTTCTATGTCTGTGAGTCTAAAACCTGTATTTTTAAAACCATGATTTTATTTGCTGTCAAACCGTGTTGAAGCTGCCAAATATCTGATGTGCTTAAAAGTATCTCGATTAATTTACTTTGTATCTATTCAGTCAAGGATACTTGTAAATACATTAAGTAGTAAAATCATTATTTGTAAATTATACCCATAAACTCTTTGTTTCATATAATATACAGGAGAATAAATATAGACATATTACCTCTATGTATGTGTGTGCACACATACACATATGTAAACACACAGACTTGCAATTGAAAAAGAATAAACATTTTCATTTTCATAGTCATTCCATTTATTTTGAAAATCCCCTTTTCAAAACTACGCCTTTGAGTTTGTGGATCGGCAGGAAGTGGCATTCTCCAACCTTACTCTCCAGGAGTGGCTTGGATGCTGGGGAGAACCTGACTTATTATTTCTCCATCAGTGAGCGGTAGAGAAGCAAACCGCTGGCAAACACGCTGTGCTGTCAAGAAGAAAATGAACTGGTGGAAAAACAATCTGAGTTGTAAGCTAGATGCATGTGTGTTCCTGTTCCCCACTTCTGCTAAGGGGACAGGATTTGTGGATTTTTTTTCCCACCTGTTTCAGATAGCTAGGAGGGCAGCTGCAGTCAGACCCACTCCATCCCCACTGCTGCTGCCTTGGACTGGGCTCATTAAATCTGGTGGCCTCACACCACTTCTGTGCACTCTTCCCCCCGTAGCCAGGGTGCCTATTAACTGTCCTGCTTACAATCCTTCTAGACTCCTTTTGCAGCCAATAGAAATACCAAGGTCCTCATCAGCCCCCCGCACCCAGGCTCTCCATGCAGCAGCCCCAGGCTACTGCCCACCCCATCGCTGTATCCCCACCTTCTCCGGGGGCTCAGTGCTCCGGATTACCCTGATGCTTTCAATTCCCCAGCTCACCTCCCACGCAGTGCTTCTGGGGAGCCCTCCCCCTCCTAGCTGTTGGATTTGCAATCACCCTCACACTCAGCACAATATCCCTTCTCTAGTTTTCTGGCTTCCTTCTTGGTCCACACAGCAGGAGCCACTTAACAACAATCAGCTGTATTGACTTCTGTCTGATTCTGTTGGACCGTGAGCTCCTTGAGGGTGGGTTCCATGCCTCACTTGCTTTGTATTCCAAGTGGCTGGCATGCTGTTTGGCAGATGGTAAAGATTCAATCCAATTATATTTAATGCAAATATCCAATACAATTATATTTAATGCACGAATGAATGGATACATAGCAACTGTATCTTGAAATGTTATTTTCAACCATGAGATTCAAACACTGGAGGCAGCCTAAGAAGATGCAACACTCCAGGACTCCATTTGTCTTGACATCAAGTGTTTTTCTTTTAAACTGAGGTCTAGTCAGTTACAATGTGTCAATCTCTGGTGCACAGCACAATGTCCCAGTCACACATATGCATACATACATTCGTTTTCATAGTCTTTCTCTTTAAAGGTTATTACAAGATACTGAATATAGTTCCCTGTGCTATACAGAAGATTTTTTAAAATCTGTTTTATATATAGCAGTTAATATTTGCAAATCTTGAACTCTCAATTTATCCCTTCTCACCCTCTTTCCCCTACATAACCATAAGTTTGTTTACTATGTCTATCAAATCTTAGTGCTATATAATAGAAAAGGGGAAAAAATTCTGCTCTTAAGGGGCTTTCTCCACTTATTCTTACTCCTTAAGTGAATTGTTCCCAGAGGTAGCAGCTAACATGGTATTTTGGTCTAGCTCATTTCCCCTTACAGCCGAACCTCGTTTTAATTTCTGTTTTCACAATTATTATTATTTGGTGGGTTCTATTTGTTCATTTGTTTTAGTTTTTAGATTCCACATAGAAGTGAAAACATGCAGTGTTTTTCTCTGCCTGACTTAACTTCACTTAGTATGATCATCTCCAGGTCCATCTGTGTTGCTGCAAATGGCATCATTTCATTCTTTTTTTATGGCTGAGTAGTATTCCATTGTATTTGGAAGATGTGGTATCTATTTTCACAGTTACTACATATTCTGTAGCCATGTTTTTCAAAGGGGCCAAAGAAATATTCAAAAGGCTTGCAGATGGGTTACATATTTTTATTGATCATATGTTATATCTTGTGTCTCTAACTATTGTGCAGAGGACATTTATTATTGTCTAATGGACGACTCGTGTGTCTGGCTTGTGGCACCAAGCCCTCCACCCTATGGCTATGCGTAATGGTTTCACTTAAACTCATGGAGTCTCTTGTAAGCAAGACCAATGGGAAAGTTTCTTTTTTCTACCATTTTTTTCTGAAGTTGAACATACAAACTGCCAGAAACTATAGGTGCAGGTTAATGGATTATAAGTTATTTTTGTATCCTTTTCTGAGGTGTTTTCGTTTTTGTTTTGAGTGTGCATCATACTTTTATAAGCAGAAGAGAAAACGGAAAAAATCATTACAGTCTGTTTTGAATATGGAGGTAGTTAGATACTTTCTTAGGGACCTTCTTAGCTTTGGAGGGGACTCACTGGTCTTACCTGAAATTTACTTGGAGACGTATATTTTCCTAATGTGGTTTTTTAAAAAATAATGTTTAGTTTTTGCATTATTCTGAAATTTCTTTTTTAAAATGGATTTTGGCTGGCTGGCTTTCTCTCCCTCTCTTCCTCCCTCTCTTCCTCCCTTCCATTCTTTCTTCCCTCCCTCCCTCCTTTCCTTCCTTCTTTCTTTCATGGAGGTACTGGGGATTGAACCCAGGACTTAACGCGTCCTAAGCATGCTCTCTACCACTGAGCGATACCCTCCCCCTGAAATTTTAATATGGACAGCTTGATGGGAAATGGTAGCTCAGTGAACTCACTCTACTGGTGAACAGCCAGGGGTGGCCAGCAGGGGGCAGCCGGGAGGGGAGAGCCCTGGTAACATGCGCCTGGGCCCCCTACCACCTTCCCACGTTGTCCAACTGGACAGAGTCAGCAAAACCAGAGAGTTAGACAGCTGTCCTGACCTTCTCTCTAAGCTGGCACAGGGTACATTACCCGAAGACAAGCAGAAGACTAAGGCAACATTTTTGTGGCCAAAGGGCGTGCCATCTGGGGCAGAGGCAGTGTTGCACACAGAACCAGGCCAGTGAGGGTACGCTCCCATGCGTGCCTCAGAGTCCAAGGTCTGTCCCCTCACCCGCAGCTCCCAGAGCCTCTCAGTCCACGATCTAATGAAGATGGAAATTAGTGGGGAAGATGGGGTCCCTAGACTCCTTGTTTCTTGTATGCAGCTGCATACAAGATAGTCCATGAAGATGTGCAAAGAACATTTTAGAATTCCCATTTTACTTTTTCATTTCACCCACTTCATTTTTGTCTTTGAAAATGTTTTACAGACA